CCCCAAAACCCCAAAACCCCAAAACCCCTATTGGGGGTTAGGCTATTGAATAAAAAGCAGTTTTCTAGATCTTAAGAAGAGCTTTCAGCCTTTTAATCTCTTCAAGAGCTTTTGTATGCATCCTTTCTCTGTGATCGAAGGGATGGACTACTTCTATTGCATCAGAATTATACCCACTCATTTCTGTATAAATGAAGAAATGCTCTTTCCAAAATGTCATTGCAGATGAAAGAACTTTGGGGGATATCCTATCTTTCAAAGGTGTATAAAAGGGATTTCTGAAATGCTCCAAGTTTGAATTAACATAATCCCAAATTGAAACAGTTTTAGATTGTATCTCAAAAAATGCTCGGTCTTTATCTCAGTTGAATAAAAACGTTCCATACTTTCATGTATATAAATGATGCGACAGAAAGAGTAACAGGATATTGTTAAACTCAAAGCAATGTGGGAATTGGGTTATTAGCTGGTATAATCAATCACAGAAATTTATAAAAACTGGTGATCTCTCCTTTGCTAAATGATTGTGGCTCTTCATATTTCCAGATCGGTCTTGAAATTTATGACCAAAGGATATCCAATCCTTCTCGATTAACACTTCTAATCCTTCTATCGTTCTGAAATAAGGATCAAGATAAATCTGAGTCAATGATCATAAGATTGGTGTTCTATCCCATCCATCTGCTCAATGGATCAAGACATTATGATTATCTCATTCCATAATCTTAGATGCTTTTAGAGCAAATTGCATTTGCTTACGAATCAGTGTGTACCATCCTGAGCTTTCTATCTTCTCAGCAAATTTTGATTCCTTAATTTTATCTGGACTATGGCACAACTTCTTTAGAGTTTTATAGCATGAATTCACATGAGAGATTCCTTCTATCCCTCCATATAAAGAATGTCAGTTGCTATATTGGCACAATTAGAATATCAAGCACGCACGAATCATAATATATCCAAACCAAGAGGGAGTTTTTACTGTAAAATTTGCTCAATCTTCAAATGATCATCAAATTTATCCATATCATCCAAGGATATTTTAGATTTTATTCTAATTAAATTATTACTTACCTAGTAATTTTCAGCACCTCCTCCAACCAGCCTGTTAGCATGCGCACTTATTTTAGGTCGAGCATCAAGTATGTACACTTGGTCATTTACTGGGTTAGTTTCCCCAATCATTTGGAGAAATTCTTCGTCTTCCACACAACTATTGTTCATGATCCCTTGTGAGATCTGTGCTGATCTCCAGAGAGAAGACCCATTTTTATGTAAGAAAGTAAGGGCTGGGAATCTAGACTTTACTCTAAATTTTGCTCATTTCTATTGATAAACTAGAGACACCTACAACAATGATTCTCTTATTCTGTCTCAATGATAAAGGGACAAAGACTCTTTCTGGGTAAGTTGTACTAAAAGAATCTTTATTTCCCCAGCATTTAAGCGATCCAAACAACACTTTAATCTCATTTACTCCTTGCCTTTTAAATTCTTTATTTGAAGTCATATACTTTCCACCCATTTTGAGGGATGGGTTTATTTACTTCAGATTTATCTGACCATTCATCATGACTCGCGCTGATTGGCACAGGCTCTTGCTTGCTCATATTCAGCTGTATAGCATTGATTATACAATAACTATAGTCCTTTAAGGTGCTACTGAAGCATAACTTTTTCAAATTCTCAAACAGTTTAATCCCTGTAGGCATGTCCTAAATATTCACACAATTATTAAACCTTGATGACAATATTTAGAGTCCTGAAGTCCTTGGTGGTAATCTCTATGGTAATCACTTCTGATTTATTTGTTCTACAACATATGGTTACTCCTTAATACTTACAGCTATTCTTTGGCAGACCAACTGGCTGGTGAGAGTATATGGGACATGGTAATATTCTAACTTCATTACTTCCATCTTCTCTTCAGAAATATTGTTCTTCATATTCAGCACATACTCTAGGAAAGAGTCTTCCTCTCATTGGATGAAGTTAGTCTCTTTGGTGTTCTTATCAATTAGGAAATCTTTAGGGACTATTTTAAGTCCATAGAGATCAATTTTAAGATATCCTTCTATTACTCGGTCTAAGGTAGTGAAAATATCTTACCGTGATCAAAAATATCTTCAAATTTTATATTGTTGATGATAAAGTCTTCACTAATATTGTGATGATCCATCAAGTTCTTGAATTTCTGGCTCAAGCTATGGTCCCAAGCTGAGTCATCTTCCCATTTATCCTCCTCTGTGTAGTAAAAGTAATTTTCGATATTATTTCCAAGGTTAAATGGAGCCTCTAAAAGGTTAAGCATTGACTTACCTTCGTCATTATTTGGAACAAATTTTGCAATCTGTGATACATCCGAAGAAGGAAGTACCTCCCCTTCTCTTTCTCTATCAGGAGAAGAATTATTGATTTCGCTTATGTTTGGCATGTCTTTTCACGGTGGTTTGATTGGGATATCATCTTCACTCTGCTCTTTACTCTAGAAGAGAAATCATAAAGCAAGATTTAAAGACATGACTGTTTTTGTAAAAACAGTTGATAAAATAGTAGATCCGCATGAATAATTTTATATTTGATTATTGTGGTGGACATCTTGGATAAAACTTACTTCCATGCTTGTGCTAATTATTAAAAAAAATATACCTAAAGTTTGGGGTTTTGGGGTTTTGGGGTTTTGGGGTTTTGGGG